TACTTATTAATTTTTGATCACATTAATAAACAACAAATTTAACAAAATTTTTGTCTTCTTTCCTTGTAATTTTCGTTGTAATTCTTGGTTTGAGTAGCTTTAGAATTTCTCAAAAATGTGCATTTGTAAACTTGATTTATTCTTGGGTGCTGGTCGTTAGAATTGGATTAGAAGGGAGTATATATATGTATATATATATTATTTGCCTTGTATATAATATATTCTAATGGTATAAATAATAAGGTACAACTCCTAAACTATACTTAGATAGGTAATACTTATCTCTTGTCAAAAACATCTTTATTAATGTCATTATTTATGACAATTAAATAGAAATTATCATTATTATTACATTTACTTCTTAATTTATTTACACATTAATGTTTATAACACCTTTATAAAAGGGATTAAGGGTGGACTAAATGTCCCATTGGTAGGCATTCCCAGTCAGTTTTACAATTATTATTGCATAATAAATTATTCATTTGTATATTTAGGTGAGGACTTTAAATTACTTATTTATTTCTTTTATTTAAATCTTTATTTGCATAAAACATGGCAGTACAGATAAAGTTCCAACATTTGTAAATGAGGATTCATGTTTAATCAATACATTTATAAGTAAATATTTTGTCATTGTCATGCCACCCAATTATTACAAGTCATAATAATACAGAATGTCAGCATTTTAAAATAAAATAAGCAATGCTAGTCAATTTTTAATACATACAGAACAATGTCAAAAATCATAACTACCAACAAGATCAAACTTATATCACTTATGGAGAAACAACAAGATACAACAAGAAATTATAACATTTAAAAAAATTATCTTAATTATATTATAAATTACATAAGTTAAGCATATTTAGTCCATCTAAAACAATGAGGCTTAAAATGTTTTGAGCATACACTGCTAAGTTTTGTTGGTTACCTATAATCACTACCAGTAGCGATTATCCAACAGTTACGGATAGCTGATTCCTTAGGAAAGCTGTGAAATAATATATTTAAACGAAATTAATATATTAAATATATAGTACACTTTTATATCAAGGTATTTAACAAAAAAAATCATGTATGTGTATCTTTGCATAAATACAATACCTATAACAATTAAAACAATATCAATTGATTGAATTAAATAACAAGTATATGTAAATGTAATGATAATATTATTCATACCAAACATTTTAAAAAATTATGTACATATTACGCTTTAGATATTGTTAATTAATACATTTACAGCCTAACAAATGTCCTCCACCGCTGAACATAGACCTCCGACACAGTATGTCTCCAAATAACTGCAGTTGCCAATTCTCCTGCCAAGCTAGGCAACTATCACAAAACCTATAACTTTTGACTTTTGATACTGACTAATGGTAACGGTAAGTATATTATCATCAAATTTTTTCTAAATCTTTAATTGAGAATATTATCTTATGTTGTTGTGTTATTGTGTACCTTAAGATTAAGACTTATTTATTTATTTATTATTTTATCTATGTTTATATTTATTTTTATATTAGTATGACATATTTTTTTTAATAAATATTGTAATGTAATTGTTGCTAATGTATAATAGAATTAATGGAATGCAATAAAGTTTTGTGCATCTGATTTCAGGCAATACATATTTTGTGAAATTAAATATACTTTGCCCAATGTTTATGTACTTGAATCCAAATATGTTTTCAGGTTGATACTTAGTAATATAAGTAATATTATTTGTGACGTCTATGTAATATGGAAAATGATTGAAGAATTGTAGGGCAATAAGGAGTTTCCTTTAAAGCTGAACATAAAAGTGTATGTATATGTATAACATTATGTGATTCATATTTATGGACATAACTACTAATCACAATAACAATTATTATTCAACAATGCGAAAACATTATTGTACTCGCTGATATCCCTAAAGTTTCTATAATCCTACCAAATCAAAAAGTACACGTTTGTTATGACTTTAAGCTTTCGAATGACCGTTCAAATTAAGGAGCATTATCATGAAGAATTTACAATTTGGGAGTCCAAATATTTGACAAAATACATCACAAAGTTCATTAAACACATGAAATGTTACACTTTATATTCAAAACAATAGATATTAATCAGTACAAGTAGCAAATGTAAGCACAAAACAAACTTACCGATGAAAGGTAATATTATCAATTTTTCGTTGACTGATGCTGTTGCATCCTAAATTGCTACAACTTACCATCTTTTTAACCTTACCTAATAACTAAAACCCACAAACAACACTAAATTCAATTACCTGTTTGCTTATAATATCAATGTTATTCACAAGAGCTTGACATCGTTAATGTCAAATAAAGGAGGGAAAACAATCAAAAACGCATACCTAGAAAAAGACAAGAAATATAAATTTGCTTCTCCCTTACTCTTATGTATAACTATATACGTGCATTCCTTTCACACGCTGATGACGTCATGGAATGTTTAGTCTAGAAGATACTATGTCTATGGTTTTCATCTGGGGTTAGAAATGACCATAAATCGGTTTTAAAACTGTTTTATTCAAAACTAAAAATATACATCACTGTTAAACTAAATCCATTGAACCAAATCGACTTAAATTAAAAATATCACATAAAAACCGCTGAATTATGACACTGAGAATCACAGAGTACATTTAAATATTCCTGTTGTAACTGAAAATTACTGTATCAACCAATTCTATTTATGATTACTAGACGAGCTTTTTGGCCTTGATACATTGTGCACTAAGTTACGGTCAACTCTCCGTAAGTCGTTTAGTCGACTGCCAGCGGGCGAGAAGACCTATTTGTAGACCGCGAGTTTAATTTAAATAAGTGTGTAACTTTATTTCGTATTTGCCTAAAAACAGTAACTGTCTTATTAATCGTCTCAAAATTTTAAGAGGAGAGCGGAAGGTGCTCTTCTAACTAGGTAAGTCACATACAGGTAGTATAGCGGCCTGTGTACAAGTATACGCATATGTCATTGAGTTTTCATTTCTGTCGGCATTCCTTATTACTGCCTCTGCTTTTTTTTATTATGATAATAAATATTGTATAAGTTAATGTCATGTACTTAATAAGAAAATAGATAAATAAATATTTAAAAAAGTCTACTTGAATTAATAAAAATCATTATGATTTCTTATGGCTACGCGAACACTACACATTTAAATAAAACTAAGTTTTACGAATTTTATCGCTTATTTTAAACTCCCAAATTTACGAGTACTTTACAGAATCCATGGTCAAGGAAGGGACTGAGGTGTGTATAGTTAACCACGGCTAAACTACTTTATATTAAATACTAAATAAGTTAAAACCATTTTGAAGAAATAAATTAGATCAAGTTCTAAGAAATTCAATTTCTAAGAAAAGGATAACACTTTATAAATAGGGTTTAAACCCATTATATATCGTCTGCCATATTAGAAGTTTCTAATATGGCAGATTAGAAGTAGGTAAGTGTTCTGCAGGATGTAAATTTTGTAATCATTCAATTGAAGAAGATATACTTAAAGAAAATAAAATTATACGTTGATTAATTATTGATTCTCAAATAATTATTATTATTGATAATAAAGAATTTTAGTATAATAATTCTAATATATTAAAACTATTATATAAGTTAATATACCTACGCGATAAATACCGTAAAACTTAGTTTCATTTAAATAACAATCATTGTTTACCAGTTCATGAAACACTGAAAAAACAATTGTTCGACATAATTTATTATAAATATAATAAGAAAATAGAAATTAGAAATGCAAATGATCCTTATGCCAAAATTAAAGCAGTGCGTTGGTTTTTTTCGTATTATGTGGGAATTTGCATTCGAATCGTGGCAAATAACTTAAAGATAAATAATGTATATTATGTTACAATCTCACCATAAGATGATTGTAAAAAGATCTTTTTTTTTTAACTTTATTGTTCTAACCAATAAAAAGGTTACAAAGGGCGGACTTGATGCCAGTTAGCATTTTCTGCCAGTTAACCCATGGCGTGGTGAGAAATTACTGGCAGGTTTTTTAAGTAATTCAATATAATTTTATATAGATATAACACTTGTTAAAAATCTTTAATTTTATAATTAAATTAAATATATTACTTAAGTTTTCTTCTTGTAAATTTGATCGCTTGCAGGACTATTATAGTATTATTGACTTTAATCACAAATAAAATATAATATAGATAACGTACGCAAGTAGAGCTGCTTCAAAATCACATAATATAAATTAATTACTTTAATATTTTACACTTATAAAACTACGGTTTACAATATAAACGCTATAATATAAGATACTTTGGCAGAATAACATTCCGTCTATTATTCTTAAGAATAATAGACATAATGGAAAATAATTTTAGTAAAATTACATTTCATGTGTTGCTACTTACCTTTTTGGCATTATTAAAGAATTATGATATCATACAATCTGCATAATATATAAAGTCCTCAGGGGTGACAACGCATCTGCATTTTGATTCTTAATCGAAAGTAGATATGGATGTCTATTGGCGAAAGCATCCACTTACCATGAGGTGGACTTTGTGCTAATTTGTCAGCTTCACCTATTTTAAAAAAAAAAATAACTAGAAATTAACTATTTTTAATACCCCCAATATACCATAAGCAATTAAAAACTCATTTAAAATTTTACTATTGAAATAATCTGGACTATATTATATAAGTACTTAATATAAGTAATTGTTAATTAAGAGTTCGGTTTCCAGTATCACATATAGGGGTTATAAAGGGCGAACCTAATGCCATAAGGCATTCTCTACCAGTCAACCCTGTCTACAATCTATTGTCTCCAGAATTAGGAAACGAAGTAGTCTAGAAAAATAAAGAATTTTTTGGTCAACTACACACTGCAGCTGTATCCTTGAATTTTTCTAACCACAAGAAAATACTGTCTCTTACTAGCCCTGTTCACCCATTTAAAACATTCTAGTTCTCTGTTCAATACAAAGGGTTGCAGTTGGCTATGAATTGAAATGTTCTAGTTGTTGCTTATTACTCATTAACGGTAATTCACAGTTCAGTTTGTTTGAAGTGTTCGCTACTTGGAAGCCGATGCTCGTTTCGTTCGTGAACAAGTTCCAAAAGACAGTACGCGTGGCGAAGACCAGTAGGCTGAGGCCTATCGTGAACAGGAGTATCTCAATTGCCAGCATCGCGTTAGGACCTGCCACGTAGATGATCCAAAACGCTGTTTTCACGTCATCCGCAAGTTCCGGTTGGGTCTGTAATGGAAACAATTTGTGCTATTTAGGTTTTGTGTTTATTACAGAAAGAGTCGTTTATGGGTCGTTCAGTCTCATAAACATACGTAGGTAGACTAACGTCTTCTAATGTTTAAACAGTAAATTGTTGAGTTGGAAGTCACGAGTAGACTACTAGTCACTCCAATCTAATTTCAAAAAAAAATTGTCGAGTTTCTTTCGTAATTTTAGAGAAACCACATTTTTAAACGGCGACTATTAATAATAATATTAAAATTTAAGAAAACTTCAAAAACACACATTGATCCTAGAGAGAATCATCCTGGTGATCTTGATCAGGATACAATAATTTAATAACTAGGACAAAGTTATTAGTGTATTGTCATCGGTCTTTGATACGAGTACAAATTTTCATGTCATCCGGTCGTCTACAAATTGGCGAATATTATATTAAAAGATTCCTTTACATAGATAGATAGATAAATGGATAGATAGTGAGAGTATATTCATACGTGGTAGGCCATGCTGCAGCTATATTAGTAGTGTAGTTGTAGCACGAATGTGTCGGCTCGACTGGGGAAGGACCACGCTCTCACAGAATACCAGCGTAAAATAGCAGTTTAACACTGCTGTGTTTCGTATGGTGAGTGTAGAGAACCGGAGACCCTTTTTACTGGAAAAGAGGCATTCCATCTTAGTCCTCACGGGTGACAACGCATCTGCATTTGATTCGCAAACGAGGATAAATGTAGATGTCTATGGGCCACAGCAATCACTTACCATCAGGTGGACTGTGTGCTCGTTTGTCACCCGATTCTATTAAAAAAAAAACTTTTGTCTAAGGAGTAATCAGCTAAGAATAAAAAGAAAAATCGGCCCTGTTTTAAATAATAAAAGAGTCAAAATAAAAAAAAAACATGCGTGAGTGTCGTGGAACACTTGGTTGGAATAAAGTTCCTTTCGCAGTATAATACTAGCTGTTCTTCGCGACTTCGCCCGCGTGTAATTCAGGGTTTTAATTATGTTGCGCGGAACCCTAATTCTTTTTCTAAAATATAAGTAGCCTTAGTTACTTCTTATAACATCAGCTGTCTGCCTGTGAAAGTCCAGTCGAAATCGGTCCAGCCGTTTCAGAGATTAGCCGGAATAAACAGACAGACAGACCGACAGACAAAAATTTTAAAAATTGTGTTTTTGTTATAAGTACCGTATATACTTTCATATGCATTTAGTAAAAAGCTGGTATTTTGACATTACATACAGACTTAAATTTTATTTATTTGTATAGATTATTAGTGATAAACGTATTATACGAGTATTATTGATTAAAAAAGACAAATAAATGAATTACAAGCGTCTATTAAAATGAAGCGTCATTTAAAATAATATTTCTTGCATGTCAAGATTAGAAAAACCGGGAGGCAGTTGGATATTATTCCATCTCGCTCGCTCTATAGAAAAGGAGTCGTGACGGAAAAATATTACACATTTTCTCGCCTAGCCGACAAATTATCAATTATCCGTCAAATTCGTACCGTGCGATAAGGAACTTCGTTCCAATAATATTATAGTTTAAATAAATTTAAGCAACACGTATTAATTATGAGTAGCGCATGTATTAATTATCCACCAGGCCACATTCTGAAATGATTGTATTGTGATCGATCTGCAATTTTCAGATTACTCATACGTCTGCAAGTAGATGAAAAATGATATATAAAATTCCATTACATCCAAACATTCGAACACATAGGTCAAGTTAATATGAAGCTTTATTATTGACCTAATATGATGCTATGTTATTAGCGCTTCAACCTTCAAAGGCATGTTATTTAATTTTCTCTAGCTTATTATCTCTGCAGAGAATACTTCGATCAGACACTTAACCCTTCACGAGACCATCTAACGTATTGTGGTTGACAGCTATTACATGCTCAAGGGCCGACCTAACACATTGTGGCCGATTGCCAAGTAGCTACAGTTGCAGTGCAGTACAGTACGACTCGATATTACATAGGTACATGAACATAGAGAACTAGTCACACGCGTAGTTCTGCGTTTTCAATTTCGAAAGTTAAAATTGGCAGCGCACAGACTAAAAATAAAATTCAGAAATGGGTTCACATCAAAGAGTATATAATCACTACGTTTGAGGTGCACTTGTTTTTTTATAAATTGCGTCACTTCAATAAGGGCTAATAATTTTCCGCTCACCAGATGTCGCTAGTTGGGACTGCCATTTAATTGAGAAATTAGTTTTAAGTTATTTCGAACATTTTAACTCTTTTTTTTTTACTTTTTCTACTTTTAGGAGGATATCCGTAGATTAGTATTCGTATTTGTTTCTAATCTAATTGGTGTAAATATTATTTCAGAATGAAGCATTAATCTTTACACTTTTATATCAAAATAATTTCCCGCGCTATAAAACCTGTCACATATTTCACCACATCCAAAGTGGCAGCAAAAGCCGTGGATGCCCTCATTAGATATTTAATAAATAGGTACATTTTTAATAGAGAACTAGTCACAGACGTGGCTCTGTGTTTTCAGTTTCGACATCCAAATTTGCCAGCGTACAGATTAAAAAAAATTCAGAAATGGGTTCACAGACATACTTGTCTTTTATAAAATTGCGTCAAGGCCAATTTACAACAATGTTTCAAGCGTAACCACAAAGTGTTAGTAAGTATAACTGTGAATTCTCTCACCACTAAGAAATAAGCAATTGGGATAGTCATGTTGGCGAAGGGCTTGGCCTCCTTGTTGAAGCTGACGTCGCTCACTGGGACGTTCAGCTGGAACGTCATGGACGTCATCAGAGCCGTACCGAGTTTCTGAAATAATTAAAACGAATTGTCACATTTAACCAGTTACGGTAGTTTTATCTAGGCATTTGAAATGATTATCGGAAATAAAAATGTCCTATGTGTAATGTCCTCTAGAACAAATTTCGGTCACGTCGGGTGGTCTCAGTGGAGACTAACCATCACTTTCTATTTCTGCACTTTCATAGGTTTATGGGACAGCAATTCGACACGACTAGAGAGAGATTAGGCGCAGAACCAGGATTCTATAAAAAAAAAAAAACAATAAATAAAAGGACGTCGTCATCTCCATTCTAATATTGGAATACCAGACGTATTGCAGGTTGCGATCCACACTTGGTTGACATTCCGAATATTCGCACTAAACGCTATAAGTCATGTTTTATAATGCGCACAGCCAAGGAGTGGAACACACTCAGAAGACAGCGCCCCGCTGGCGTTTATTTTCTGAGTGCGTATAACTTGAACCTCTTCATAGTATGTGTAAACAGGCTTGTCCTGGGCTCGCTCGCTCGGGCCAGATGGAGGTCAAGAGTGAAACCGTTTCTAATAAAAAAAAATGTCTGTATGTATGTATACGTTCGTACGTTTGTACTTTTTGTCTCGCATATCTTAAGAATTAATAATTTATATAATATTATTCATAGATTTATAAGGTCACATTTTTGCAGTTCAAGGAAATCGATGGGAAGTTGACCGTGAGATCAAACCAAATAGCATTTGTTTTCCTTTTTTTTATCTGTCATATGTTATCTATATCGTGTTGTTCGTTAGTATCTACTTAACTAGTTCTAGGAGCGAAGCCAGAACTAATGGTTTTGAAAAAGGAAGTTATCAGTAAAATGGACGAATGGGTCGCCTCGACCGGAGAAGGACTGCGGCCATATATACAATACCAGCGGAAAATTAGCTTTATGTTGCTATTTTTCGTGTGGTGAGTGTAGAGATCTCGTGACCCTTTTAACTAGAAACGACGCAATCCATCTTAGTCCTCAGGTGTGACCACGCATGTCTTTAAATTTTTAAGGATAGATGTAAGTGTTTATGTGCCACAGCAACGACTTACCGTCAGGTGGACTGTGTGCCCTACTCACGCTTATTCTATAAAAATATGAGGTTAAAAGTTTTACCCATTCCACTAAGAACGACCCGCCATGTTTCTCCTCGTCTGGAGCGATGCCATCTATGCGTTCGTACACTTTGGGATCGGCGCCGTAAAAATGCGCATTGGACAGCATGAGAGGTAGACCTGGCAACATGCAAATAAACTAAGATTAATCGATAGACGTCATTCTTGCTTGTCAATGGTTTTTGCCTTTATATATAAAAAAACCTATTCGTCTTAAGGCTCATTTTCAATCATCAAATGACAGATTATCACATCAGAAACAGATTGAAAATAACAGTTTGATGAATCAAATAGTAAATAGTAGTTCAATTGTAACCAAAATGTAAACCAATTTAAACGTGGTAAAATCACGCTACTGCTATGTTATGTTTGTAACACGTATGGGTCGCCTCGACCGGACCACGCTCTCACAGAATACCAACGTAAAATAGCAGCTTATTGTTGTTCTGTTACGTATGGTGAGTGTAGAGAACCGGAGACCCTTTTTACTGGAAACGACGCATTCTATCTTAGTCCTCAGGGGTGACAACGCATCTGCATTTTGATTCTTTTTGGGCCACAGCATCCACTCACCATCACATGTGTACTATGTGCTCGTTTGTCACCTAAATTCCAAAAAAAAAGAGAGGCATAGAAATTGTAACAGTTTTATATTTAATTAGCATCGATCACTAATAAAAAACTTATAATATATCTGATAAATAAGTTTTATCATCATCAACTTAATCATCATGAAGGAAGGTATATGTGAACCAAAGAGTATTTATAATCACTACGAAGACTGCTCCATGGCACAGTGGCTTAGCATTGAGTTGCAGAGCTGAGTGTCGCGGATTCAAATCTCGCACAGAACAAGTATGGCCTACAAATAATTGTTTCGCGTCTAGACGTTCGTCCTTGCGTAATTCATGCATGTAAACTGCCTCCACGATACAGCAGAAAATCCCACCTAGTGTGGGGGTAACGTTCTTTTTTGTTTTAGAAAATCAAAACAAACTTGTGAAAGTGCCGTTGTGTCGTATTCTGTTTGAGTGAATATACGAGTATGAGACATTCTAATACGAAAATCGAAGGCAAAAATCTTTGTATTTGTGTACCACAATCTCTACATAGTATAAAACAAAGTCGCCTCTCGCCGTCTTTACGCTTAGATCTTTTAAACTACTCAACTAATTCTGATGTAGTTTTCAACAATAGACAGAACGATTCAAGAGAAAAGTTTATATTTAATACATGCAAATTATATATTATATAACTTCTGTCCGTGTGTATGTAATTAACCACCTCCTAAACGGCTGAACCAATTTTGATGAAATTTTGTGTGTGTGATTAAGTTGATTAGATAATGGTTTAGATTCACAATTGAATCTGGTAGGTGGCGTTCTTGTCGAGATCCGGAAATCACCCGTGCGAAGCCGGGGTGGATCGCTAGTATGAAATAAAACGAACCATAAAAGCAAGGCGACAAGTCGGACAGTCCATCGACGCATCCCAGTCTACTGCATAAGCATTCTTTATCAGGGTTCATTGTGTAGGACCGGTTGCTGATCTTGTAGAGGAAAGCCTCTGGGCCGTAGTCCACGGTTTTTGTATAAGCATAATCGAGCTCTAGAATTCTGCAGAAGACGTTCCGATATATTCTAATTGGTGTCTCCGGCGTCAGACCTGGCGGGTAGGAGAAGCCCTCGTACACATCTTCAAAACTGTTGCACCGAGTACTGAAAATATTAAATCCATTTTAATATACATAATTTAAGAAGCACAAAATAACTCATAAGAACATAACGAAGAAGAATTTAAAGAAGGTAATGCTCGATTATTAATATCGATCGATAGTGCAAAAACTAAACTATATACTACTATAATATTCGATTGTTTGATTGATGTGATTGGATAATTATTTTTATACAACTGATATAAAATTACGTAGTAGACCCATGCTGCAACTATATTACGGTTGCAGTACGAATGGGTCGGCTCGACCAGGTTGGTACCACGCTCAAATCGTAACCACGTCAAATAGCAGATCAACGCTGCTATGTTTCGTATAGTGTGCGTAGAGAACCGGAGATCCTGTCTACGGGAAACGAGGCATTCCATCTTAGCCCTCAGGGGCGACACCGTGACAGAGCATCTTAGTCTAGGATGATATATATATATCTCATTTGCAACATTCTTCTACACTCTGTTTTAGTCGCCACGATGCCTGTTAGTTTGCGAAGTACTTACCGTAGACTTGGGTTTTCGTAGTTCCAGCACGCCAACCCACTGACTCCATTAACACGTTTGATTTTAAACTTGTCCGCGTCGTTCACGCTTAGCTCTATCCTGTAGTCTCGGGTGTTATCATAGAGCTAGAAAACAATATATTATGTGATTAGTCGCTCCACGTAGTGCATTTATTTCCTTTTACTTTATTAAAATAAAGGTGAAAAACGAGCACACAGTCCACCTGATGGTAACTGGATGTTGTGGTTCATAGACATCTACGTCTATCCTCAATATAATATAATCAAAATGCAGATGCGTCCCTTCTGACGACTTAGATGGAATGCCTCGTTTCCAGTAACATGGGTACTCATTATATTAAGCATATCAGCATTAAGCTGGTATTCTGTGAGCGTGTGGTCCTTCCGGTCAGTTGAGCCGACCCATTCGTGGTACAACTACAATATACCTACAGCATGGCTCTACCACGTATAGCCATACTATATACGAATGAGAGAATAGGGTTTAATGACGCCCGTATCGAGGAACGTCCTTGGGTTGGCAACCGGATGTCAGACTTGATATATCTCTCTTTTTTTACTGTACCATTTAACTATGATTTTTTACTAAACAGGAGTTGGGTAGGTACTTCTCTCTTACCGTCTAAGAGTTGTGCCTTTTGTTCTGGACTAAATGGTATACATAACTAGTATGAATACAAGCTGAAAGGCAATCCATTTTAGTCGCAGTCCCCAGAGGTGACAACGCATCTGTAACCTTCTTTGTTTTAACTTGGCTAGACAATATTTGTGCTTGTAACATTCCTTAATCAACATAAAAGGGTCGGAAATGCGACTATAGAAAAAAATTAAAAAACGACTTCAAAAAAAAAAAATCAAAAATACAAAGATTTTCCACATAATAGCTTTTCGGGCGGGGCTTTAATATTTTTATATACTGTCTTAGCACTAAGCTAGTTCAAATGCGTGGTATGTCAACAATAAAGAGGTGGAGATACTCGTACAAAAGTAAATAATAGAGCGGTAACGTTTACAAAAAAATAATTTAAAATTAAAAATTTTGTACAAACGACTTCAATATATATTATTAAGGACAACTCAAAAACTATTGTTCAGAATTTGATCAAATTTATATGGGACCACATGAGAAGCACCAGCTTTCAAATAAAGTAAGAATCATCGAAATCGGTTCACGTAGAATAAAGTAATGAGGTAACACACATAGAAAAACATAGAGTCCAATTGAGTACCTTCTCCTTTTCGAAGTCGGTAGAAAAATGAAGATTTGTCCTACGCCAAATTCTCACCACTCCATGAATTGACTGGTTAAGGCGCTAACTCTACCCTTTGTATTCTTTTATATTAAGGAATGTAATAAAAAATAAATCAATAAGACACTCGTTAAACGTAACTACGTATTAGAAGAGACGCCGAGACTTGATCACATGCAACACACGTTAGAACCCATGGACTTAAACTTACTTGTGCCATAATTAAAAATGGTATTCCGTGCCTCCTTCCACTCGCCTCGTAGTGCCGCACAGAATTTTTTCGCGGTGTCTGTTCTAGTACATAATATATATTACTTTAATGTAAAACATACTCTGTCTAAGAAGCCCATCTTCCTGAAGTTGATCCAGCCAGGCATCACGGTGTTTCCCAACGCGAGGAGGGGCTCATCGTAGCCCCAGAGGAAGTCCTGGACACTCTTTGTTAATAACGCCTTCGATTCGTATCGCTTGGTAAGTATGTTCAGACCTAGCTGGCTCCAGAATGGATACGTCGACATGCTTGTTGACGTCGCCTGAAAAATGCATAGGTTGAGGTCACTGTTACCGCTGCCTTTTAAAAGTTCACTCTTGAACATTGCAACTGTTAACTACGTATTTGTGTTATCGTATTGTTTTTTTTTATAGAATAAGAGTGATAAACGAGCACATACGTCCATCTGCTGATGAGTGGATTCTGTGGATAGTCACCCCCACGAGGACTAAGATAAATTACCCTCGTTTCCAGTAAAAAAAGAATCCCCGGTTCTCAACACTCACCATACGAAACACTCCCATACATTGCCTTATGGGGTGTTGTTTGCCATAGTTGCCACGAATGGCAGGCGGACTGGCATCTAACACTGGCACAGTTTTTTATTGTTTAGTTTTGGAACAAAGTTCCTTATCGGACGATATGAATTTAGCGGATAGGCGAAAAAAGTGTAAGAATTTCCGTTTCTTCTGACGTAGTGTAGACGGCCGAGATGGAATTATATCCATCTCCCTCGCGCTTTTCCTTATCTTGCCATGAAAGAAATATTCTTTTCTTTTAAATGACACTTCATTTTAATAGACGCTAGTAATTCATTTACGAGTATTTGTATTTGTTAACCTACCAAATACTACGAAAGGAACTTCGTTCCAACCGAGCGTTCCACGACACGCACGCATGTTTTGGTTATTGCAGACGCTAATTGTTTCCCTCTAACAGTGTTACCTTTAATACGTAATGGTACTACGTAATGGCCACTCCCCACCTTTCCCAAGCTTTAGAAACCCTTCCGCGCCATTTACTTCTGTTTTTGTGTAATGGCGAGTAGCGGTGGAAGAATATCCACTACCCCATATCATCTCGTGACTGCTGTAAGAGGCAACAGGGGAAACAAATCAGGAGTTGGGCAGCAGCGTCTTCCTAATAACGACTAAAAAAACTGAGGTTGTCAACTCGCTTGCCAAGCGTGGCAACTAATGCAAATATCCTGCTATGGGGGAGGCCTATGTTCAGCAGTGGACTTGTGAAGGGTTGTGATGATGATGACTGTTTTATTACTTTGATAGTAATAAAACAGTCATAAAAAATAGGTCTCTCACACTCGGATCAATAACATAGAAGATGTTTTCTCCCTCGCACAACTTCCTTGTAGAATCGATTACCAGCGACTTTTCCGGACCGATACGACTTAGGGACCATCAAGAAAAGAGCCTACTCCTTTTTAAAAGGCCGGCAACACATCTGCAATTCTCTTGGTTCCCCTGGTGTTGCAGTTGTTCATGGGCGGCGGTAGTCACTTAACATCAGGTGAGCCGCATGCTCGTTTGCCCCCTCTCCTATAAAAAATATATATACCGGTTACCGTTACAGCCTAATATCCACGGCTTCATATTATATTTGCTATAGCTGCCACGCTTGCCATGTGGATTGTCAGCGAATTTTTTTTAATTTTTAGTCGTTATTAGGATGACGCTGCTGCCCATCTCCTGATTAGTTTCCCTCTGTCGCCTGTTACAATACCCACGATATGATACCGAGGTAGTGAATATTTTTACACCGCCACTATACGGTACAAGATCACATTTTAATATATCACATTTTTTATATAGAAACAATACATTATAGTTACAGCCTATCAAAACTTCACTGCTGAACATAGGCCTACCAACAGTTTGCCTTATAGGGTGCATATCTTCCACAATTATCACCCCTGGTTTTGGCAATCGCTGTATTTTTTAGTCTTTATTAGTACCGATGTTGCCCATCTCATACAAGTATTTGTATGGTCTACAAATAATTGTTCTGGGTCTGGATGTTTACCCTCGTGCAATTTATGTTTGTAAACTGCCTCCACGATACAGGAGAAAATCCTAGTGTGGTGGTAACGTTTAAAAAAAAAGAGCTGATAAAAAAAGAATAAAAAAAATTACGACACCCACAGGACGATATAGTTAAAGTTAAAGTTACAGCCTATTTACGTCCCACTGTTGGGCACAGGCCTCCCCTCATTTCTGAGAGGGACGATATAGGGTAATGGATTATTCTTACACCACCACTACACTGTACTACGGCCTGCGTTATCACATTAAGTAGTTTTGGCGGGAACTTGACCGGCGACGGATACCTACTTCGGTATTATTGTTTAAATTGCGATTTTATGTATTAAATGTCTGCGCATGTGAACTATTAGTGGAAACGGTGAAACAAGTGCTCTGATGGTGATGTGATTCTCAAGATAAGGTGTTTGTTTGCCTAGGCCTTGAGTTACTATTGCCAACTGTCAGCTGTCTGCTGGCTCAAGTTGCCGTCAAAATCTCCCAAGGTCTGCACAATGTGACGCATCAACATATTGTGAAGCAGTGTACTATGAAAGATAATTATACATTGTAACTTCAGGCTCAGAAGGGCTAGAACCCAGAGCCGTAAAGCCAGTTATTAAAAAAATCACATTAAGTTATTTTGAAAAATAATATAAGAGTATGATTATGGCCTGTTATGGTATCGGTAACGGTAAAATATGTGTATCAAATAAATTGTTCTTTCTTTTTAAATGTCCACTCACCAATAACACCGAATTCGGAAGTGTCACGTTGATATCCGCTGGGTCACCAATAGACAGCTCGGGGATGAATGACGCGGTGATGTAAGGGTTGTAACGCAGCTCCTGCAACTCTTCATCCAGCTCGAAGTTTTCGTTTATTCGTTTCTCCCTACAAGACGAAATTTAAGTACTAGTCTATTGGCTTATAGCTTGAATAGTTAGTTGAACAGTTAGTTGACGCATGGTATTCCGTTCCCGCTTTGGTCAAGAATATCCTAACCGAAGCCTAGCCTAGTTACAGCCTATATACGTCCCACTGCTGGGCTCAGGCCTCTGAGATTGCTTTTAGTGCAAGGATATGTGCACCGCGCTGCTCAAATGCGTGTTTGCGGACTTCACGTTTTCGAAATATTTTTTTAATTTTTTATATCTCAGATATGTTTACTCACGATGTTTTCCTTCACCGCCGCGCACGTGGTGAATCAGCACTTAAAATTCAAATTAACAATTTCAATCGTAAAGTTGTTAGTTATAACAATTATACATTATTCAAAATTATAATATTTTTTGTTAATTGGAGTTACTGTACAATATTTTAATGTTGTCTCTACCACTACCCGTAACGCGACTTTTTCAAGTCAAAATATTTACTTACTGGTATGTGAATGGGCCGACCTCTTGCACTTTAAGCTGGTGATCTTGTCCGCTGAGGAACTCCTTCGGGTTGGTGACGTTAAATACGTATGCAGACACGTAGGCCCCGGCTATCTCTTCTTTCAGTAAGTGGTAGAACTTAGTGTCCCGTGCAAAACGCATTTTCTAGGGATATACAAAATTTTATTCATTAACTTTATTTAATTTTATTCATTTATGCGTTTCGTGCATTCTGTAAATGATTAAAAACGATGCTATGGCATTCGACAATGTACATTTTTTACGTGGTAGAGCGACGCTGCACATTTTACCGACAGGCTGACAATTTTGACTAATTATATTGTCTTTTATTATTTTTATTATGGTCATCAATTTAATTTTTATAATGTAGAATTTTAACTATTATTCCAATTTCATTAATTTTTATTCTGTTTTATTTATGGCCTGATTTTCAAAAGAACACACAATTGGACGTAGTTATACAAAAACGTTCCAACCCACAAGTCATTCAAAAAATGAATTCTTCTTCTTTACTTTTTAGCTTCTCTTAAAAGAATTCTGCCAATATCAAGTCAGTCATGGGAGTGACAATCAAAAATGAGTTAAATATACAGATCTACTTATATTGACTTCTTCGCGAAGATGTCAAAATAAGTAGATCGGTATATTTAACTCATTTTTGAATGACTTGTGGGTTGGAACGTTTTTGTATAACTACGTCCAATTATATTTGTATGTCTTTAAGGCAAAAACATTGTGTAAACCTACCTATGTTTGGCAAATAAACTATTCTGATTCTGATTCTTCTGCAATTTTATATGCAGTAACAATGGGTCGGCTCGACCGCGGTGAGTCCACGCTCTCACAGAAAATCAGAGTGAAATAGCAACTTAATGCTGCTGTGTTTTATATAGTGAGTGTAAAGAACCGGAGATCCTTTTTATTGGTAACGAAGCATTACATCTTCTTCATCAGGGGTGATAGAGCATCTGCATTTTTATTCTTAATCGAGGATATATATAGAATGTCGTATTTACTTACCATCATGTGGACTATGTGTTCGCATGTAACCCTTGAGAGAATCATAAATATATATTTTCATTAGAGTCTATCAAAAGACCACAGCTGAACATAGGTCTCCCCATAGATTGCCTTATAGGTTTTTTTTTATAGGATAGGGTGACAAACGAGCACACAGTCCACAGGTAAGTGGTTGCTGTGACCCATAGACATCTACATCTATCCTCAATAAAGAATCAAGATGCAGATGTGTCGTCACGCATGAGGACTAAGATGGAATGCCTCTTTTCCAGTAAAATGGGTCTCCGGTTCTCTACACTCACTATACGAAACTCAGCAGTGTCAAGCTGCCATTTTACGCTGGTATTCTGCGAGAGTGTGGTCCTTCCCCGGTCGAGCCGACCCATTCGTGCTACAACTATACTAATAATATACATAGCTGCAGTATGGCTCTACCGCGTGTGTTCGCATGTAACCCTTGAGAGAATCATAAATATATATATTCATTAGAGTCTATCAAAAGACCACAGCTTATAGGCCTCCCCATAGATTGAATTATAGGTATATATAATTTACCATATGGCATGTTTATGAGGCGGGATTTTAACCGCACTTTTTTACTATTTTGAGTTATCAGGAAGACGCTGCTGTCAATCTCCTGTTTCATTTCCTTCTGTCACCTCTAACAATACCCACATGATGATATGGACTAGTAAGTAGTGGATTCTCTTACGCTGCTACTACACGGCGTCATTTTTTTTTAATAGGAGAGCGGGCAAACGAGCATACGGCTCACGAGCATACGGCCTGATGGTAAGGTAAGCTATCCATTAACAACTGCAACACTAGGGAAATTGCAGATGTGTTGCCGGCCTTTTAGAAAGGAGTAAGCTCTTTTCTTGAAGGTACCTAAGTCGTGTCAGTCCGGAAAAATTGCCGGTGGTAAACTATTCCACAGAGAGTTCGTACGAGAAAGAAAACTCCTAGTAAAACGTACAGTGGTGGACCACCAAGCATCCAGATGGTGTGGATGGTATCTGGAGTTTTGCCGCGGTGTGAGTTCGTGAAATTTGGCACCTGGGATAAATCCGAACAATTCTTCAGAGAACTCCCTGTGGTAGATTCGAAAAAGAAAATGCAGAGTGATGCCAAAACTCGTGAAAACCAGTGAATCGACCCGATCAGAGGGAACTCGGTCCTTGAAGATTCGAGCTGCTCTGCGCTGAATGCGGTCAAGTAGAATGAGCTGGCACTGGGGATGGGGATCTGAAACTGGAATGGATGGAAACTGGGGATCCATGTGAGGCCGAATCTGCGCCTTGAAAATCTTGTAAAGTTGCAGGCGGTGTGTAGCTAGCTGTTTATAATTGTTTCCATTATTTTGGAGAACAAGGAGGTGATAGCGATAGGTGGCTGGATCTGAGCGGTTGCCTTTTTTAGGGATCGGATTCACCAAAGTTGTCTTCCATGAGTTCCGGACTACGCCTAGGAAGTAAGAGTACGGGAAAATACGCGTTAAAACCGGTGCCAACTCTGGAGTAACGTCCTGAGCACAATTGGGAGGATTCCGTCAGGTCCACTGGACTTGTTGATGTCCCGGGAGAGGAGTGTTTTGCGAACTGAGTGCTGTATGAACTGGCCGGGATGGAGTACTAACAAAGTTTAAGTTCAGCTCACTGCGGACAGTTGGTATCACAACCCTACATACACAAAAAACAGAAAAATAAGAAAGTTGTGTTTGTTCCAATAAATGAACATCACTTGGAGAGGTTTAGAAGTAATACGAGTATAATAAAAAGACTTCCATCACTTTCGTTTCAAAATAGAGCTAATTATTTGTATGCTACATTATTTAAAATTATAAGTTGTGAATTTAGTAGAATATTTACTTCTAAAACTTTCTCTTTTAACAGTCGCAAATCATTTAATGAATGGGCAACAGTAGGAATTTATAAAAGTAGGCGAAGGTTATATGAGCTTTATGATGAAAGATCATATAATAGTAGTGTTATATTTAGAGATTATGTAAAAACATATTCTAAAATATTTAAAAAAGTGTGCTCCACTGCTAAGGCTTTACATTTAAGCAACAAAATTAAAACTGCATCCGACAAAATTAAAATGACATGGAGAATAATAAATAGTGAAACCGGCAAGGTCAAACCGCGCAACTCGGATTTTCAATTGAATATTAACAATAATTTAACGCGATCTGATCAAGAAGTTGCTATGGCATTGGAGAAACATTTTACTGATGTTCCTTTTTTGACAACTAAATCATTAAACTCTTCTCCTACTGTCGCCTAATCATTGCTCAAACAAAATGTAAAGGCTTGTTCAAATACTTTTAAATTCCACAGAGTACTGCCAAAAGATATCGTTAAATATTTTAAAACTATTGATGTTAAGAAAACGGCAGACTTATGGGAGATTTCCGTTAAAGTTATTTTATCGATAATAGATATATTAACACCTTATCTAGCCACTATATTTAATATAAGCGTCGAATCTGGTGTGTTTCCTGATTTAATGAAACATAGTAAAGTAGACCCCGCCAATTTTAGACCAATTTCTATACTACCAACATTAAGTAAAATTTTTTAAAAAATTATTTTAGATCAGATGTTAAGTTTCTTTAATATTAATAAATTGCTACATAAAATCAATTCGGATTTACAAGGGGTCGCTCGACAACTGACGCTGGAGTTGAGCTTATTAAACATATTTTGTGTGCATGGGAGAATTCAGAGGATGCTTTGGGTATATTTTGTGACCAAGGCCTTCGACTGTGTTCACCATGAGACATTAATCAGGAAGCTACAGTACTATGGTGTGAAGAACAAAGCGCTTAAAATTATTATTTCATATTTAAGTAATAGAAAGCAGAAGGTTATTATCAATGGTAAAAGTTCTTCCGGGTCACTTGTACTAATGGGTGTTCCTCAGGGCTCGATTCTCAGCCCATTCCTGTTTCTGGATTATATTAATGACTTACCTCACCTTGTAGGGGATAGTTTTGATATAGTATTTGCTGATGATACTTCCTTGATTTTTAAACTTAAACGTCAATCATTTAAATGTGACGAAGTGAATAATGCTATATCAAAATGAGTGCATTGGTTTAACGTTAATAATCTGCATTTGAACGGAAATAAAACTAATTATGTTAAATTTACAAAAACGAATGTTAAAAATCTGAATACCAATGTGTTAAATGAGGAGGAATTGAGCCCTGTTGTATCCAAAGTTTTTTTTGGCATCACTCTTGACGCAAAGCTTCAGTGGGGCCCCCATATATCCAAATTAGCAAGCAGACTAAGTTCTGTAGCCTATGCTGTAAAAAAGATTAGAGGTCTCACTAGTGTCGAGACAACTAGATTAGTTTAGTTTAGTTATTTCCATAGTATAATATCTTATGGGATTTTGCTATAGGGAAATGCGGCTGATTCAGAAACTATTTTTGTTTTACAGAAGAGGGCCATTAGAGCTATTTACAATCTAAAGCCGAGAGAGTCTCTTAGAGATAAATTTAAAGAAATAAATATATTAACTTTAGCCTCTCAGTGTATTTACGAAAATGTGTGTATTTAAAAAAGTGTGCTCCACTGCTAAGGCTTTACATTTAAGCAACAAAATTAAAACTGCATCCGACAAAATTAAAATGACATGGAGAATAATAAATAGTGAAACCGGCAAGGTCAAACCGCGCAACTCGGATTTTCAATTGAATATTAACAATAATTTAACGCGATCTGATCAAGAAGTTGCTATGGCATTGGAGAAACATTTTACTGATGTTCCTTTTTTGACAACTAAATCATTAAACTCTTCTCCTACTGTCGCCTAATCATTGCTCAAACAAAATGTAAAGGCTTGTTCAAATACTTTTAAATTCCACAGAGTACTGCCAAAAGATATCGTTAAATATTTTAAAACTATTGATGTTAAGAAAACGGCAGACTTATGGGAGATTTCCGTTAAAGTTATTTTATCGATAATAGATATATTAACACCTTATCTAGCCACTATATTTAATACTAGCTGTGCCCGCGGCGTAGCTCGCGTATACAGGTTTTACATAAAGAATTTGTCGTTTAGGTAAGAGAATATTAAACGATTTATTTAATTACTGTATCAATAAGTGG